ATGTGACAGTCAGAGCTCGAACCACCATATCTTCATTAGGATGTGTCTCCTCCTGCTGGAGATACACAGAAATGTTGTTTTAGTTTAGTCAAAAAAACTAAACTATTATAAGTGACAATTGTAAGTTCTTACGTTGTTGACAGTAAATGGTCCGAATGTAGTCGACTGATGAAGCTGAGCCCAGTAACACTCACACTTCTTCTGCAGACGACAAAACACAACCAGAAGACAGAAGATAGTGAAAAATGAAAATAAATTCACAAACTGGTGAATGGTGAGAACTTAAAAAATCTTTTTGTTAGATTTGTCATGTTGTTCTGTTGTTTTTTTGTTTTTGTTGTTTCGTGTCTTTTTACCTTCCCCATCTCCACCTCTCTGCAGGCCATGACTATCACCTGGAGCACAAACACACCGGTCAGACATTAGTCAGATCCTCCTGAAGAAATCATTTGATATAACTCTGTTTTCTGTGTGTGTGTGTGTGTGTGTGTGTGTGTGTGTGTGTGTGACCTTGACGTCATATTGCCAGATCATCCTCCAGAGGTCAGTCACTGTGGAGCTGAGAGGAGCCTGAGAGGCGATGTACCTCTTGTTTTCTGTCGCCCCCTGCAGGACAAAGACCAGCATCACAACAACACGTCTGTACTCTTTATTTTATTTAAATCATTTCATTTTATTCTAAGTCGTCATTGGTCACGAGATGAAGATAAGAAGGTAAGAAAAGTTTTTCTACCTCCAAAAAACTTGCGTTGATGTAATCTGTGTCAAAATCTGAGGTCAGCAGAGTCAACACCACCCGAGTCTGGTCATCTACACACACACACACACACACACGCACGCACACACACACACACACATGCACGTTTCTATTGTCAGTGGTGAGTGGTGCATTATGGGTGTGTATTTTCTCAGGCAGTGTATTTCCTGTGTAGTATGTGACGTAGATGAAGTTAGGCAGGACTTCTGAAGAGAGGATGGATGGAAGGGCAAGAGGAGGATGGAGGAAACGAGGGGAGGAGGGAAGGAGCGAAGGTTACAGAGAAGGCAGCGTGTTCTTACATGGCAGGATGTCTTTGTATCTGTTCCTCTTGATGTTTTCCTTCAGAGCTCCAATGTCAGTGGTCAAACCCAGATCTCTCTTCAACAACAAGGACTGTGAACGCACTGTCTGTCTCATAAAGACACACACACACACACACACACACACACAAGGTTCTTTAAATGCTCACAGTGAGGACATTAAACTTTTTTTCCAGATTCATATGAGGTCACGGTGACCTGTGACCTTTGAGATCAACCCAGTTCATCCTTCCCTCTCAGTGACAACTTTTCAAAATGTGAAGAAATTCCCTAAACCTTGACCTTTGACCTTTGACCACCCAAATCCAATGAGCAGTGAGTTTACAAAAGGGCCTTTGTGAGGTCACCTTGACCTTTGACCTTCAAAATCTAAATTACTTCATCCTCAGGTGCAACTGAACATTTCCACCACTGTGTGAAATGTGGAAGTCATTGTGTGATTCACGTGTTCATACAGGTGAGATAATGGACGAAGGAGCCGCGTCTTTGTGTTGCTGTCGACAGAGCGTAACATTCAGGAGGGAAAAGTACAGCGAGCCGAACCGGAGGAGGAAGTTAAAAACAAAAGACATGATGGTGGAGAAGAGGAATCATTTTAAAAAAGACAGAAAACAGTCAACAGAAAAGTCCAACAGAGGAAGAAGTGTTTCCTGTTCCATCAGTAAAAAGGTTTATATGCTGTTGAGGAAGAAACCTGTTGATACCTTCATACAGACCAGAGAAGCTGGGAATCGAACCGTTGACCTTCAGATTAGCGGATGAAGAAAGTGATCAAGAAAAAGAGAAACTGATTGTGTGAACTGAGCAGAAACCAGGTTTCTAGACGTGTCAGAGTGACAGAGGCAGTTTATTGGTCGTCATCATCAGTCAAAGCTCCGAGCGTTCAGTAAATCCAAAGTAACGAGGTCGTGAACACCACAGGTCGATCGTCTGGACTCTACGATAAACATGACTCCGGCCACATTGTGTCACCACAGAGTGCGACCTGCGTCTGTGTCGGAGTTAGTTAGAGGATCGGTAATGAGCAGAGTTAACAACAACATCCGAGACGCCAACTTAATACGTCTGTTGAAAAACCCCCAGTGACAAACAGTTTCGTACGCTCACACGGGGTTTTGACCTGCGGTCCAACTGAGTGAAGACATGGTGCACTTTTCAGCGGTGGATGAGTCCACATGTGTTGCCGTGGTGTTAGGACATCAGTTCGGTGTGTGTGTGGTTTCAGGCAGGTTCTCAGGTCCGTTTTTCGGCCTCGATACTTTCACTGTTTGAGTCAGACGACGAGGAAGCTGCTCCGCTGGTTTAATAATGAACCAACTTGAGAATGAGGAAACACGATGATTGACTAACTCCCAACGTCCAACCTGCGGATTCACCGCAAAAGACACTGGACACAAAGTGTGTGTGTGTCACTTTAAATCAAACCAATGATATTCAAAGATTATTTTCTTTACCGACGTGAAAACTACACAGAAGCTGTAAAGACGCCTTAAAACAAAAGGAGCTGTTGTCTTATTTGCTTTCAGTTTGTCAAATCATTTGAAACGTGTCAGTTTTAGGAAACAGGAAATGATAGTTTTGTCGTGTGAGACAAAGTGTTCACACAGACACAGGGTCATTATTTACACCGGCCGCCATCAGTTTGGAAACCAGTCACTAATAATCATAATCTCAATGAGTTCATCTGGAATCTTTTAAATTATCAGAGGGATCATTAACATTTCATTTTGGCGTCGAGTCAGAAATAAGTTTGAAGAATTTATTTAGATCTTTAAAAATGAATATTAATGCAGAATGTGTGTGTTTGTGTGTGTGATGGTATTTTCATTGTATTAATTTTAGTTCGTTAAAGTTTGTTGACTGTAAATAAAGACGGACGACACGACGGCTCCCGAAAGTGAAGTCAAATCATCTAATTTGCCCCCTGGTGGCTGGCTGCAGTGTAGGTCATAAACCCTGCCTCATCCATGTTAGCTGATGGGACATGGACCAAACTAAAAAAATCAACATAGACGTTAAACGAATGTTTCTCAAAGTAGTTCTTATCACACTGACGTTTGTTCGAGTGTTCGTGTTCAAGTTTGGTTTCAATTTGTTTTGTGATGATATAAAATCGAGGATCACGGATTAGCGGGAACTCGTTACCACGGCGACACTCAATGATCACTGCTGCACAGACTCTGACTCCAAATGACGTCATCGGCACAGGATGGCAGCGTTTGTATCCGAGATAATTTAGCTTCATTTTTTTATGTCCAACTTTATATATACAGCCACTGAACGTCTTTATATCATTGATCCTCTTAATATTAATGAGCATCTTTATGAACAGCCACTGGTCGTCTTCATGTGCAGTCATGGACTTTTTATAACAAAACAAATAATATATTAAGAAATGTGTTTTTGAGACTATGAAACTTGAGTCTAGTTTAGAAATGCTTCACATAGTTTGACTAAAAAAAACTCAACCACATTGAAAGCTGATGTGTGTGTGTGTGTGTGGGTGTGTGTGTGTGTGACGTGGTTAACTAAGTTTTATACTTATATATATGTATTTAGCAGCTCACTGACCAGTGGATGGCGTCACGGTGTCTTGATGAAGAACTGATGAAGACTTGTCTTCACAGAGGACACTTCCGTTGGTTAGTTAGAAGGAGAAGTAATTGTAATGAATTATCGAATCAATAGTTTTTAAAAGTTGAACCAGTCAGTGTCGTGTGTTCAAAAAAATCTCCCACTGTGTGAGTTTGCATATATTTTACGCAGCTCATTCATTCTCAATCAGATTAAAGCTGCAGCTCATTTAAATCGTGAACTCACATTTCAAAGTTTCCAGGAAAGACGGAGACAATGTGTGTGTTTGTGTCGCAGGACGAGCGAAAGAAAACGAAAAGAGAAACACACACACACACACACACACACACACACACACACACACACACACACACACACACACACACACACACACACACNACACACACACACACACACACACACACACACACGACAAGCAGAAAACAAATATCTGTTTGTCATTAGATAAGTTAATTTTCCAACATCGACCCTCACATCTGAACTTATTCACTAATGCATTTGAATTGAACATCACACGTATTCATCAAGTCAGACATGAAATGTTAAAGAGATAAACGTCATGTGAAGACGTCATGTGAAGTGGGACCTGAACCGGACTGACTCCTGTTGAAGCTCAGGGTCCCTGGTGGTCCTCACACTCCTGTTTCCTGCAGACACTGTGTGGAACAGACACTCACACTGTACTCGAGCTCCAGAGCATCAGGGTCCAGGTCGCTCAGCGAGGACAGCAGCAGCTCCATGTCTCCTCAGGGGACACCCAGGGGACACCCAGCAGACACCCAGCAGACACCCAGCAGACATCCAGCACCGAGGCCTGGGACTGACGGAGTCTGTCAGAGCTGCGACCAAAACCAAACTGAACTGCTCCCCCCTCCTCCTCCTCCTCCTCCTCCTCTCTCTCTCTCTCTCTCTCTCTTTACCTGTGTTTCACTTCTGTCTCTATATTTAACCTGCTGGTCAATAATTCAGTGGTCGATCACTTCTCTCTCTCTCTCTCTCTCTCTCTCTCTCTGCCTCTTGATTAAATTCAGTCATTAAGCTGATTACACCTTTTTAAAGCTTCTAAGCTGCAGTAGAGTATTTTTTTTTTTTTTATAGTAGAGAATAACAGATGCTGGTATTTTTTACTTTTAAACGAGCACATAAAGAATATATCCTGCCTGCTCATCACACCTTCCACCTCCCTGACGATCTCTGCTCGCAGCGCTGCAGCGCGTTTCTCGGAAACAGCGTCAGAGTGAGAGCTCTGTCTCCGCCTCCTCCTCCTCCTCCTCCTCTGCGCTTGCCCTCCTCTCTGAGTTAGCCGCTCCGTCTCCTCCGCTAGCGTTAGCATTAGCCTGCCCCTGGTAGCAGCCCGGGCGAACATGGCCATGTCGCAGGCTCTGTCAGAGGAGGAGTTCCATCGGATGCAGGTGAGAGAGACGCGGCGGCCGCGGGCTCGTGTCTGCGGCCTCAGGTGTGCGTCAGGTGGACGGGGAACACCTGTCGGGGGCGTTAGCTCCTGCTGCTAACCGCTAGCCGTCAGTGGGTAACGGTGCGTTAGCTTCGGGTGGGGGCGGAGGAGGAGGGTGTCACCGGGGTTTAATGTGATCGTGTCAGTCCGATGTGCAGGAGTCCGAGCCTCGAGTCAAAGTGATGATAGACTCAGTCCACTGACTCAGTGTGTGTTAGCTTCATGTCCACTCCAGCTAGCTTAGTTTAGCTCAGCGCAACTTAGCATAGCCTCCTCCTGTGGAAGAAAACAGTGGCTGGATTCATCTGCTAACACACACAGAGAGTGTGTGTGTGTGTGTGTGTGTGTGTGTGTGTGTGTGTGTGTGTGCGCGCGCGCGCGCGCGCGCGAGCTGACATGTTGGCAGCCACGGGACATGATGAGAGTCACGGGGTGTGTGTCTGTGTTGATGTGCAGCCTCTGTGGCTAACAGAGAAGCTAACACCTGTTAGCCCGCAGACTGGGGTCAGTGCAACAGTCCTGAGCCAGAGACTGTAGCTACAGCTCTGTGTTGTCACTGTGGAGGCTGCAGGTTGTTGTAGTGTCACTGTGGAGGCTGCAGGTTGTTGTAGTGTCACTGTGAAGGCTGCAGGTTGTTGTAG